CCTCCACAACTAAGATTGAAGGACAACAACTTGGCTGTTCCCCTTCCCCAATTCCCCAACACTGTTCCCCTCCCCCAATTCCCCAATAAAATCTTTTTTTAAAAAAATAAAAAAATAATTGAGCCACAGAGAAATTCAGTAACTTGCCCAAGGTTGCTTATTCAAACCCAGGCCATCTGGTTCCAGAGGCCACAGTCTTAAATGGGGGAATTCTGGGACCCTTAGAGGTTGTCAGACAAAAACCTAGCCCCTGAGGGCAGGAGAAAGAGGAGAGCAGGGGAGGAGAGGGGAGGAGAGGGGAGGAGAAGGAAAGGGAGGGGAGAGGAGGGAAAAAGAGGGAAGTCAGGAAGTGTTCCAACCTCTATAAGAAGAGGCAGATAAGAGGTTGAGAAGGGCTGGAGTGGTGAGGGGATGAGGGGGAAGTAGAGGGTGAGGCGAGAGAGCTCAGCATGGAGCCAGAGACACGGAGAGAGCTCAGCATGGAGCCAGAGACACAGTTTCCATTCCCGTCTGCCGCTTCCCAGCTGTGTGACTTGGGCCTGCATGCCTGCTCCCTGTGCCTCCGTTTCCTCATCCATAATATGGACATAAGAATGGGCCTCACTGAGCCATTGTGAAGGCAATCTCAAACTGGGGTCGGGGGGTGATACCTACACTGAATCCAGCTCCCTGATATGTGCTTCTCTGGTCTCCACTGGGCTTTAAAATATTTAACTGCATGAATAAAAAGTTGAGAAAGTGCACATTTTGAATAACTGAATGTCTGCTTTCTCTGGAAAAAAATGGCAAGATGGAACCACCTCAGGCCCATTATCTACCTGTCTAATATCACTTGGAGCTGAGTGGCATCAGCCGCCCCCTCACATGGGGGCATGGGCTTCCTAGGGTGCCGCCATCCCCAGCTGGCAAGTTCCCTCATTTATGCCACCTACCCAGCCCCTGCAGGGGGCTGAGCTTGAAACTTGTGGTGTACTTTGTGTACCGTCTCTGCCTCCTTGCCAGGGATGGCAGCTGGAAGCTCTAGGAAGAAACTGTGAGCACCAAGGAGCCGAAACCATTGGCAACGAGGAGGGAACTTCAAGGAAACCCAGGCAGTGGTTTCCTTCAGAAGCCACATGCTAGCCTGAAATTCCGTTGGGACTACCTCTTCCCATTTCAAGAATGAAAATCAATAGCTGGTGAGAACTCACAGAGGGCGTTTGAGGAGAGATGGCTAGGTGTCAGACTTCAGTCTGCAGCCCTGAACTTAAAGGCAATGAGTGAGACTGTGAAAAGGCTATTTGACGATGCTTTTTTAAGCAGCTGGCAATAATAAAATAAAATTGATCCAGAACTTTGAACAAAACCCTTTGTCCCTTGCCACAGAATAGTTTGTCTCATCTTTCAGGTGACCCACAAGAGTTGTTGCAATGCCTGCTGGAGGTCCAGCCATGCTGGGCCATCTGGCCAACACCGGGGAACTCCTCACCATTAGCCCTGCTGAGCCGGGATCATCTGGCCAGCCTCCTATACCGCTCAGAACATCATTCCCTGAGGAGATGAAGAAACAGTGATGGAGTTTCCAAGTGGTCCCTGTCCTAGTCACTTTCTCCGGGGCATACCCCATCTCTGGAGGTTTACAGATGAATGACTGTACCACAGAGGCTTTGTCAGAGCATCAGAACCTTCAGGAATCTGCCTCCCACCTACCCACCTACCTTTTGCCTGCTTGCAAATCCCCGCTTCACCTCTCATGGGCTGTGTGACCTAGAGTGAATCATATGACCTCTCTGTGCCGCAGTTTTCTAATTTGAAAAGCCTTATCAATCCTAACCTCTATGCTCCAGGTTGTTGTGAGGATTAAGTGGAGACAATTCACAAAAAGCAGAGTCTGGTGCCTGGCAGGACACTCATTGACGCTCTTGCATGTGTGCTCTGCACTTTTCCTCCTTCTAGCCTTCGTCCAGGCTGTGCCTTCCTCTACACTATTCCCTCCTCCAAAGCACTTTGCCCATTGCCCTCTTGCAGTCTGGATCTCAGCCAAACTTGGAATCTCAGAGTGGCAACAACCAGAAGGCAGGGACCTCTAACAACGCCTAGCACTGGAACACAGAGGATCCCAGGAAACCCTTGCTGGATGTGGTCTGTAGGTGGCAATCCTTCAGGGCTCACTTTCTCGTCTCCTTTGGTGGGAAGAGCAAATCGGCCCCAGGGAAGGGGAAGGTAACAGTGCAGGAGACAGACCCGCAGAGGAGGGGAGACACCCGTGCCCATATATACATTCACCAATGCTACAGATGCTCTCCAGCTCCTCGGCTACCCCAGGC